AGATGCTGCTTGGACCCCTCCCTCGACCTCGAAGAATTCCCTCCTAGACACTTAGGCGACCCCCGTTCTGCCACTGAGAACCAGACCTCTTAGAGGACTCAAGGTCCTCGCCTTCAGTGCCCTTTCTCGGCGGGGGCGGCCACACTACCCCACTCCCGGTACCTCCAGTCTCGAGCTCTTGAGAACGCACTGAGTAAAGTGGGGCAAGGTGGTCAAGCACTCTACAAGGGGTGGGTGCAGGAGGGGCCCCGGGCTTGAGGCGCTGATGTGTAGTCTTCGCACTCGCCCCCTGAACCTCCGACCCTGGATCCCTCGCCCCAGGTTCCATTTGAGCCTTGCACTCTGCGTCCAGAACTCCGGGACAAAGTGCCAAGCCTCTTCCTCCTTCTTAGATGTTTCCCCTTCTACTTACTGCCTCGCCTAGATTCTGGAAGGAGACTGCCTGGGAGACTGACATTGGCCATGTAAAGATGCGCGTTGAACAACTCCAGGGGGCACCACTCTTTGTACTCATTGTGTATTTGCATAGTTATTGTGACCGTTTTCCAGTAGGTGGCAGTCAAAGATTTCCAGGAAGAGAAGCCTCTTCTTAATTTTCCCGACGCCACTTCGCCCTGGGTGACATCGTATTGATCAGCGTATCTATCCCCTACCCCTCTCAGCAATCCTGTTGGAAGTGGGAATAGATCTACTACCTCCTATCTTCCTTCTCATTTGTCCCTACGCCTCTTCACGTCCCCAACCAAGGAGTTTCTGTCTGTCCGGGCGTAGTCGGAGGCCCGGTGGATTTGGGGGGTATATTGGGTCTGGAGGGTCGGGCCTAAACATCTAAGGAGAAATCAAGCTAAAGTGCAGCTCCTAGACCTCTTCCTGCTCTCTTTGTCCCTGGGCAGGGGGTCTTTCAGCTGGGGGATTAGGCCACCTCCCACTTCCAGCAAAAGCAGAATGTTGGCGCGGTTGGAGGAAGAAAGGCGCCAAGAGCCGGACCTAGAGGATAGACCAAAAAGTTGCAAACTGACGGCACCTACTGGCAACCCTTAAGACTGCAGGAGGGCTGACGTGTTAGGACCCGAGAGGAGGACTCTTTAGTCACATCTCAGGGATAAAGTTGGATCCCTCCCGTCCCATCTGCCTTGGAGAAAGGTAAACAGAACAGGTTCTTCAAGTTCCTGGGAGGAAGCCAGCGTTTTTCTGATTCAAACGCCAGTCCCTGTCCCCATTCTCTTCCTTAAATCCAGTCGGCCTCCTACTTAATGGATGAACTTGAAGTTTATCTTTAGCTGAAAGGAAGGCTAATTATCATCCCCTATTCCACCTCTTGGAGCTCCTGTGGGAATAAATGAACTAATTAAGGACAGTTTTGAAGCCCAACTTGTCCACCAGACAGCAAACCCCAGATGGGTAGAAACCCTGGGATGAAGCCAGCGTGGGATGCAGTGTGAGTGCTTGTGAAGGCGGCGTTCTGTCCAGGTTTCTAGATGAGACAGATGCCCCCACTCCTCAACCCCAGCGCTTCCTCTGCCCCCAGCCCAGCCTCTGGTGTCCTCCCCATCACTGACTGGACTCAGGGACCAAGCACTGCTGTCCACATATGGTATGTCCACTGAGCACGTATTGCTCCAGGACTTCTTGAGAAATAAAGAGATGGCCAAAAACACTCTGCCTCAAGGAGAGAGAAGATAAGTGCATAATGAAAATAAGTTTTCTAAGACACGAACAGGTGCCCTGGGAGATGTGTGTATGGGACTCATGGGGGCCCAGAAGCACAAGCAATCAGTCCTACCTCTGGGGCATGAGAAATGTTCACTGAAAAGGTGACCTGAGACCAAGTCTTCTGTGTTTAAGGATAAAATAAACCTGGTATCAGCGTCATCAGACTAAATTATCAGTCCAGCATTGTCACTTGGTCCTCACTAGGGACCTGAAGCTCTGAGCTTTCAGGGCTTGTCTAGCAAAGGGGACTCTGCAATAAGAGGCAAGCCGCTGTGGGAAGTCCCTGGAATGAAATAGATAGCACGAACTTTGAATTTGTCCTTCCTAGACCTCCCCTGCTAGGAACTCATTCCGGGATCTCTCCTGATGGCAGGACTTCTGTCTCCCCCACTGAACTGGAGACTCTCAGAGTTTAGTGTGTCCCCTCAGCCGGTGGAATTTGGTCGGGAAGTAGAGGAGGAGCAGAAGAGTCAGAGCCAAGGCACCAGAGTGTAAGAGGTAGCAGAGCGCTTTAATGTCATGTGATCTCAGATCTGCCACTTACCATCTTTTTAGAAAAGATTTATTGGCCAGGAAGGAAGGAAGGAAAGAAGGCAGATGGTGGTGACACATGTCTTTAATCCCAGCACTGAGGAGGCAGAGGCAGGTGGATCTCTATGAGTTCCAGGCCATCCTGATCTACAGAATGAGTTCCAGAACAGTCAGGGCTACACAAAGAAACCCTGTCTCTTAAAAAACCAAAATAAAAAAGGATTGATTGGTATTCACCTATTTATTTTGAGATGGGGGGTCCTCATTATGTAGCCTTTGCAGGCCTAGAAGTTACTACATAGACCAGGCTACCTTCAAACTCATAGAAATCCACCTAGCATTGAAGGTGTGTGTCCCCAAGCCCAGCTACTTTTTATTTTTAATTATGTGTATGAGTGTGTGTGTGTGTCTGTGTGTGTGTGTGTGTGTCTGTGTCTGTGTGTCTGTGTGTGTGTGTCTGTGTGTCTGTGTGCAGGTACCCACAAAAGGCAGAGTCCAGAGGTGGCAGATATCTTTAGAGCTAGAGTTATAGGTGTTGTAAGCCACCTGAGAATTGATTCTGGGACCTGAAGTGTAGTTCTCTGGAAGCTGAGCCATTCTTTCCAGGTCCCCACTTAACATTTAAATGGGTAATTTTCATCACTGAAGAGAGTTAGAAAGGAAAAGAGAGACAGAGAAACAGAGAGAGACAGACAGGGGGGCAAAATACTTGGGCTCAGCCACATAGAATGGTTAGAAGGAAACATGAGGTGATAGATTAAAAAGGGCTCTGAGAACTGGACCTGTAGCTTAGTGGTAGAGAGAGCCCCAGTATGCATGAGGTTCAGGGTTCGAATCCTTACACCCCCAAAAGTCATTTTAACTGGGCATGATTGCCCATACTAGTTACTCCCAGCATCTAGGCTAGGCCAGCCTGGGCTATACAGTAAAACTCCAACCATCTGACCATCACCACCCTCAAGAAGAAAAGGAGGAGCCTGAAATGCAGGCAGAGTTCATGGCACAGGCCCTTATTGCTGGTTCATCCTACTGACTGCTGCCTCCTGGTGGACTGGATGCTCTGTGATGAGCCTCCAGCATCTGGGAAGCAAAACTCAGTCCTATTTAAAACTCAGTCCTCTTCCCGCTGTCTCTGGGGGGGGGGGGGGGCAGAGCTTGCACACCCTTGTCAGTCCCTGCTTCCTGAGAGCTGGGAAGACACTCCACCTGGCACACAGATAAAGAAACTCCACTACTTTCCAGCCCCTTCCACCGCATTCTCTCCCTAGCTTATAGATCAGGTCTTATTAGCTGCCTCACTGGGACAATCCCAGACTTCTGCCGACCCAGAATAAACTCCTGGAAGAACAGATGGAGTTGGGGGTGGATCTCAACTCCAATAAAGACAGAGTTCTGACTGGCTATGGTGGCGCACGCCTTTAATCCCAGCATGTAGGAGGCAGAGCCAGGAGATTCTCAGTGAGTTTGAGTGAATTCCACAGCAGCCAGGGCAACACAGTGAGGCCCTGTCTCAAAATAAATAAATAAATAAATAAATAAATAAATAAATAAATAAATAAATAAATCTGTTCTCTGGTATCAATGATAAGCTTGCTCTAGGGGGCATCACGTCTGATGGAGTGGACAAGCTATATAATTATGAGAATTCACCTTTAACTATCACTGACCGTGTCATAAGGCTTCACGGAGGAGGCATTATTAGTGTTGTCTTTTTTGTTTTGTTTTTTCAAGATAGGGTCTGTCTGCATAGCTCTGGCTGTCCTGGAACTCACTCTGTAGACCAGACTGGCCTTGAACTCATGGAGCTCCACCTACTTCTGCCTCCTGAGTGCTGGGGCTAAAGGTGTGCGCCACCACCCAGCTCAGTGTTGTCTTTTTAGACAGGAAAAGTGAGGCACACAGGGATTATGTAATTTACTCAAAGCAACATGGCAGAGAGGGACAAAGATGTGAACCTAAGCTATCTTACTCCAGTCTGCACCATTAACTCCTATATCTCACTGCTGCCTCAGTCAACTGTCAGAAACATTTTACAGGAATATCATGAGCAGAAGACTATGACACAGAGTTCAAGCTGAGCATGCAGGTCAGGTAGAGGTGGCATTGGTGTAGGATTATGTTCCAGGCCTCCTTATAACTTTGCTTTCCAGCCCTCTCCTGACTCCCCTGGATGTTACTGTGTCTACACTAATCCCTTCATATCTGCTGACACCTAAGTACTGATATGGCAGCCACGTAGAACCCCACATGTGAGCCAAGCCATAGTATATCAGGACAGCCTTCTTCCTGCCCAACAGGGCTCCATAGTTCTAGAGAGTTAA